CAGTGTAGCACGGTGCCTGGGGCCATTGGCACCAGCAAAAATGAGAAAAATGTGGCACTCAGTCGACTGTGAAAAGGATACTTCACGGTTTGGAAGCTGAGACAGGAAGGCAGTGTCACCTTGTTTGACCTCAGATGGAAACATAATACATTGTGCGGGTCTATTTTTTTGCCTGTCTACACATGTCCATAACTGACTGCAGAAATGCTACACTTACAGAATTAGGGGACAGGTAAAATTTAGTGAGTATGTGTGTAGTTTAGCCTTCTTTCACTATGACAAAATAACTGGAGAGTTAATGTATTAAAAGAGAAGGTTGCTTCAGCCTGTAGTTTAGGAAGTCCCAGTCCATGACTGTCCCGGTATCTTGGTCTTGTGGCAGGACAGCACATCATGGCAGAATAAAACCTCTTGTATCATCAGCAAAGGAGAGAAGGAGAGAAGGAGAGACCAGGGTCCCACTGTCCCATTGTGGGCCTCTCCTTAGGGCCTGATGTCCCATAGATTCTACCACCTCCTGGTAGTGCCACCCTGGGACCGAGCCTTTAACAAAGGGGCCTTTGTGGGACTCAGGATCCAGGCTATGTATAGCATAGCCTGGTGAGTTTGCAGCTATGGAGTCTGGAAGACTGAGAGCTGTATCCCTTTCCTAGTCATCTGGCCTGTTCTTATGCAGCCAGTGGCTGTGGACAATATGATCTCTCACAGTTCACTCAGCTGTGATTCATTCCCATGCCTCTGGCAGTCTTCCTCCCTGAAATCAAGATGTCCTTGTCAATTTAAAAAAAGTGGTGTTTTGACCCACTACAAATCAGAGCAAAAGTTAATAGAAAAGAATAATGAAGTTTTGCTTTATGTGGCTGAATTCTAAGTCAAAGCAAACGATAAAACATGAAGCATCAGATGAAGTAGACATGTCTGTTCAGAAAGAAGTGTTACCCAGTTCCACGTGGCAAAACCTCATCTTCCTCTTGTGAAATGGTTGCTCTGTTCATGTTGTGGAAGACATTGAGTCTAGAAACCTTAGTCTTTTGTGTGTAGTGTGACGACACTGATGTTGTTATTCCAAATTGCCAACTTCAGATGCCATTAAAAACTAAGAAATGTTTCACTTGATAATATCATTGTAGAAAAAGCCATTTAGAATTGAATTCAATTAGTAAAGTATAACTTAACTGAAAATTTATGTAAACAAAGTACGTATTTATGCTGACAGCTCCATACATTGGAAGTTGTAATTAAAGCTGGTCCTTCTATCTGTCTCTCTTTTTCTTTCTCTCTGTTCCCTGTTTCAGACTAAAAACATGTTAAGATTTTAAAATAAAACATACTTTCTTTTCACTCATTTTTAATTTCTTTTTTTCTTGGCAGTACTAGAATTTGAACTCAGGGTCTTACACTTAATAGGCATTCACTCTGCCATCTTCAGTCATTTTTATGTTTGTCTGATGGAATTTAAACAGTCTTGTTTAAGAAAGTTGGAAAATTAAAAAAGGAAAACTAGAGGGGAAATTCATGGCATTTCATCTCACTCCAGGAGAAATTCAATCATAAATTGAAAAAAAGTTAATTTTATGAAGTATGTATAATGTAAAACTCCTTTCACCATTTAACTAGGTATTATTATTGTTGCAGTGTTCATGATCAAACCTATGGCCTTGACCATGCTAGGCAAGCACTGTACTACTGAGTTACTTCCTCAGTCTCTATTTTTATTTTTAACATTAGTATAATTTTAAGGGTATATATATATATATATATATATATATACACACACGCACACACATATGTAAAATATATATATTTTTTTCTCTCTCTTTTTGGTAGTACTGGATTGAACTCAGGGCCTCACACTGGCTAGGCAGGTGTTCTACCAGTCAAACCATTTTGACAGCCTCTCTAAGATTTTTTAATAAACTTAAATGTCATTTCATTCTTCAGACAAGAATGATTTGTGATTTCTTTTTCGTTTACTTTCAGGAGGACTCCTGCAACTTACAGTTGACGTAGTCGAGGAGTGTAGGTTGGTGGTAGAGCGCTTGCCTGGTGTGTGTGAGCCCCTAGGTACCATCCCCAGCAATGCAAAAAAAAAAAAAAAGAAAAAGTAATATATTTAACTATAAAAAGAAGAGGACATTATTGAAAGCAGGGAAAATAGGAAGCTGCTTCCCTGCTGCTGAGATGAGGAGACGGCTGTAATTACTGAGTTTCCTTTTTTGTTTTCTCATCATTGAAACTAGTATAGAAACATGGTGCTGATAGCTTCATTTTCAGACTGGAGGAAGAATGATAGATAAGTCACTCAGAGAGGCAGAAACGGTTCCTGAATCTGGACACAATGTCTTTCATTTTGCAGGCGTAAGAATAGAAATGGATTGATGGAAATATTGATCAGACACTTCACGCTGTCTTCAGAATTTTACCTCTCGTACTTTGACTATTTATGCTGTGTGATATTTGAGTAGCAGTACTTCTGTACTTAAATGGAATTTGATTTCACAGTGAGAATTTTTCTTCCTGATGTTTCAAGATTTGGGGAAAATGGAACACTCTTAGAAGATCCAGGTTGTGTTATGAGAGGAGGCTGAAGGATTCCTATCTACAGACCCAGGTGGTGTGGTTGGAAAAGCCCCTCTCCTGCAGCTCATTTTGGTCATAGGTTTCTTAAGTCTGCCTGGAGAATGAGCCAAATGCCAAATGTACCAGCTTTCAATTACTAGCTATCAAAGTGACCTGGAACCTGTACAGCCTCATAGCAGAATGTGCTTAAAGCAGGAGACTGTAGATATAAAGAGGGAAGTTTAAGTTTGGGTGCTTGTAAAGATGGGAATATGCTCTTTCTTCCTAATGGACATGGCCTTGTTTGCATAAAGTGAGCAGAATGCAGGAGTGGCCATCACCTTTTAGTATCAGTGAAGGTTTAACAGTCTCCGTGAGTTCAAATCCACCAACGAAACCTTCAAAAACATTTTTACTACTTCCAAGTTAGAGCTCTTAAGAGAGACCACTTCAAAGTCTGTCATTCCTACTGAATTAAAAATAACAGTATTAAGAATGTCAGTGCTTGTGTAGTGAGCAGTGAAACTCAGGATGGTAGGCAGAGTTTGAAATTAGCGTCAAGTGCCATTGGGCACATGTGGATAAAAAGATGACACTAGTGGATTGTCTGGGTGACATGAGTGGAAACACCTACGTTTGTGGCATGGGTGGATTTTGCTATCTTGGCAGCCATGGAGGAGACATACAAGAAGCTTTGTTTTTCTGATGTGGCACAGGAACACGTTGGACATGCCCCTGGCAGTGTCAGCCTGCGCTTGGGTGGATGCTCTGCTCACCCTGTGTGACCTCATCTCACGAGGCCACCAGAGCTCACAGGAGTAATGGCTCGTGCCTACTTCCCAGAGGACGCGGAGACCCAGAGAGCTTCACGGCCGCATACGAGGAGGGGGGAGTTTGCACTACAGCATGTGAACCCAAACTGCTGAAGGGTTTCCCTTACCTTCCCCAAAACAGTCCTGCCATCTCTTGTGTTTCCACTGTACCCATGGCAAAGTGACTTTTCCTTCATCTGAACTTGGTGCTATGCAGCCTGTGCTGCTTTGTACTCTAAGCGTGTGTTGCATGTGGATATCCATCTGACCTTGACTGTGACTGCCTGGAGCAGATGTGCATCCCTCCTCTCAGTTGTGCACCAGCAGCCTGCACGGTTCCATGGTTTTATTATTCATATGTGCATACAAGGCTTGGTCATTTCTCCCCCCTGCTCCCACCTCCTCCCTTACCACTCACTCCGCCCCCTCCCTTTTCCCCCACCCCCTCGATACCCGGCAGAAACTATTTTGCCCTTATTTCTAATTTTGTTGTAGAGAGAGTATAAGCAATAATAGGAAGGAACAAGGGTTTTTGCTAGTTGAGATAAGGATGGCTATACAGGGAGTTGACTCACATTAATTTCCTGTGTGTGTGCGCGTTACCTTCTAGGTTAATTCTTTTTGATCTAACCTTTTCTCTAATTCCTGGTCCCCTTCTTCTATTGGCCTCAGTTGCTTTTAAGGTATCTGTTTTAGTTTCTCTGCATTAAGGGCAACAAATGCTAGCTAGTTTTTTAGGTGTCTTACCTATCTTCACCCCTCCCTTGTGTGCTCTCGCTTTTATCTTGTGATCAAAGTTCAATCCCCTTGTTGTGTTTGCCCTTGATCTAATGTCCACATATGAGGGAGAACATACGAGTTTTGGTCTTTTGGGCCAGGTAACCTCACTCAGAATGATGTTCTCCAATTCCATCCATTTACCAGCGAATGATAACATTTCGTTCTTCTTCATGGCTGCATAAAATTCCATTGTGTATAGATACCACATTTTCTTAATCCATTCGTCAGTGGTGGGGCATCTTGGCTGTTTCCATAACTTGGCTATCACCCCAGGCTTTGTGCACAAGATGTACAGGAAATATAAATGAATCTTACGTTTCTACCTGCTCTCCTCCCGGACATACCTCAGATATACCTGCAGATATCACAAAATCAGAAGATGTCTGAAGTCAAACACTTCTGTTCCCCAGAATGCCTGATAAGGGTACCCAACCTGAACTTTCACGTAGCGGGTGTACTGGATTTAAAAATTCATAAGGAGAGATTAATGTCTCTATGAAATGAAGTTTTTTGTCTAAATGGAATTTCTGCATATTAATTAAATTTATGTTAAAACTGGTGGTGGTGGTTAAACAAAACATGAATGTTCTTAATGCTGCTGCTTAAAAATGGTTGAAATGTTAAATTTAATGTGTATCTCATACACAGTTTAACAAAGAGCACTAATGGTTATGTAAACCTCACACTGAAGGTGGAAGCAGAGGTTCACCCGTGTGACATCTGCAGGGTAAAGGATGGACATACAGAGTGGGCAGAGCGTGGCTTCAATATGTTCACTTCTGCTTTCTTTCTCCCACTGTGTTTGTGTCTTACTCATTTCCTGACGTGGACCTTGTCTTTTTTAAACAGGAAGGAAAAGCTGATGCGATGTTCTCAATGCCGAGTTGCCAAATACTGCAGTGCCAAGTGTCAGGTAAGACCACACCTATGCCTCAGCAAGGCTTCACGCCCTCGGCTCTGTCCTCCACTGAACCTGTTCATGGGTTTCTCTTTTCCTTTCCTTTCCATTCCTTTCCTTCCCTTCCCCTATTTTTCCCTCTTCCTTTCCTTTTCCTTCCTTCCTTCCTTCCTTCTTTCTCTTATCCCCTACTCCCTCCCCCTTTCCTTCCTTCCAACAATATTTAAATTATTTTTCCTTCAATTTTAAAATTAGTATATAGCAGGTTGAATATGCGAAATGATTGGCACCAGAAGTGTTTCAGATTTTAGATTTTTTACATTTTGAAATGTTTGCAAAGATTTTACTCGTTGAGCCTTCCTAACTCAAAATCTGATTTTAGAGCATTTCAGATTTTAGATTGATGAGGCTTAATTAGTGTAATGGTAAAAATTATGTGTGTGTGTGTGTGTGTGTGCGCGCGCGCGCGTGCACATGATTTCTGCAGTGTTTTATGGTAGAAGGGCATGTTGGAGGAACACTGCTCAACTCATGGCCATATGAAGCAGAGAGAGAAGAAAGAGAAAAAGTGGTGAGAGGGGAGAAAAAAGGAGGGAGAAATAAGATATACTCCAGTGACCTTCTTCCTTCAAATAGGCCCCACCTCCCGCTAGCCCAGTTAGCCCTGAACTCATGAGCAGACAGATGCATGGATGAAGTTAGTGCCTTATGATCTAGTCATGTCTCAGTAGCACTGCCAGTAGGACCAAGCCTGTAACACGTTAGTCTTTGGGGGATGTTTCAGATCCAAACCATAGCACCACTGTCAATTTTTGTGCAAATATATTTGAATATCTAGCTCCCATATTTACAAAAAAATAGATATGGGATACTCTGGCACAAATTCTTCTGTCCCTTGACTTTCTTTTATACTTAGTAATCTGTTTAGAGGAGCATTTTGTACCATCCGTGTATTCCATTGTATAGACACACTGTAGTCCTTAATGAATGTTTGCAGTTTTTTCTGTATTCTGTCTTGCTGTTAATGCACCCAGCATCCTTTTTTTGCACATTTTTCACACTTGTGAAAATTAATTATAGGATAAATTCCTACTTGTATTATTATTTTTTTGGCAGTGCTAGGGTTTGAACTCAGGGCCTCTGCTTGTTAGGCACTCACTGTACCACTTGGGCCACTCTACCTACCAGCTGTTTTTGCTTTGGTTTTTTTTGAGTTAGGGTCTTGCTTAAAAATGTGGAGTGCTTCACGAATTTGCTTGTCATTCTAGTGGAGGGGCCCTGTGAAGCTTCTCTGTCCTTCAGTTTTAGGGTGTGTGCTGACATGAGCTCCCCACATGTATTTTTTGATAGAAGAATATATGCAGTTTGAATTCTCAGAGATAATGCTAAATTGCTTTCCAAGAGATTAAGTTAATTTATAACAAATACTGTTGTTAATATATTTGGAATTCTTTAAAGGATTAGTAACATTCAGCATGACCTTTACTCTAAATTCGATGATTAATTATTTAATAAGAAATATAATTATGTTCTAATGAATTATACCATATTAAAAAATCTAATGGGAAGTTTTGTGTCTGTGTCACTTGCCCCCCCCCCCCCCCACTGCAGGTCCTTGTTTGTGTGTATACATACACACACCTGTGTAGAGTTCCTTCTTCTAAATGCAGGCCATGCTTATCTGAGGGATTGTCTGATATCATCCCTTCTCCTGTGAAAGAAATTTCTTCAGAATGCAAATCAAAGGCTCCTAATGGAAAGTTAAATGTACACAAATATTAGGGGCTCCAGGCTTTTGTGCCAGTGCTGCTATCTTCTAGTTAAGTTCTCTTGGGGAAAATGTGAACTTTGTTTGGCCTAGTTTCTGAATCTGTGATGATAATAAGAGGTGATGCTTCTTAGACGTCTGCTATGTGCTCGGCACTATTGTATTCCATTCAATTTTATAAGAGTTTTAGAAGAATTAGGTACGATTACTGTGGTCATTTTACCAGTAAGAAAACTGAGGCCAGAGAAGAAAGCAACTTTCCAAATACCCGAGGGGGAGGCTCTTGGATTTGGGAACCAGGTCGTGCAACTCCCAGTTTTTAGCTGATCTTCTAAATATTCATTTTATTCTTTTTCTAACATTCTGATTAGGTCCAGTTTTCCATTGTCTGTTATATCATTCTGTTGTTTCTTGGCTTATTGATTGATTGATTGATTGATTATGGTGCTGGGGATAGAACCCAGGGCCATGTGCATCCTGTGTAAGTGCTTGCCACTGAGCTGCACACCTGGCCCTATTTGTGGCTACACTCTATCCCCAACGAATGCAAAGTAGAAGATTTAAAAATAGTGATGGAAAAGTTTCACACTTTCCTAATAAAAATAAGATAGGAAATGTAAAAATAACTGAATTACTTTCGTGTCATTCTGTAAACCAAATATTCTGTCAAAGTAAGATCCTAAATTTATATAAGAGCATTACAACCATAACCAAACAGAAAAGGAAGCTGACTTGTGCTTTGTTTGTAAGACAGATCCCTGGATGCTGTTCTGTGGTGGCATTTGACTTCTTTTATTCATGTGAAACTGGCCACGTTTCCCAGTATGCTAGATCAAGCAGATTGCGTATTTAGCCAGTGGATTATATATTATTTAACATACGTCTTTTAGATAAACTTTCTTTCTGATCTCAGTGGCCTAAACATTTGCTTTTATTTTCCCCTGGTTTTATGAGCATTTTTTCTCCAAGGCTACTTTCTCTTCTTGCAATACCAGGGACAAAAAGTGATTATCTGTTTAGAGTGAGTGGAGGGAGTTTGGTAAAAGATATGTCATTTTGATTCATTGTAGTTTGTATTTTTTTTTTTTACTACATACATTAGCTGTTTACTGAAGCATCAATAATAATGTCACTGTCAGATATGCTGTGGGAGGTATGGGAAAATAGCTGGTAAGATGAACTCCTGAATAACAGTGTGTATGGGGTGGGTGAGTTCATGTGGGTAAGACATGGGAGTCAAAGGTTAGCCAGAAGCATGCATTTAAACTGCCCTATTTATCTCAGTCTTAAGATACAGCACTAAACATTTTGACCATTGTGGGTCCTGAGAAAGCAGCACAAAGCTAAGCTGACACACTGAGCTATGGATGATAATGAGCAGGAGTCAAGAGCAAGCTGAGTGGAAATTGACAGAGAGAATGTGACTTTGTAGCGTAAAATTGATGACATGGATACCCAAGGGGAAATGACTTTGCCTCCTAACTTGGCCTCTGATGTGTGGGGCTATGGCATCAGCTAGTCCAGAGGTTGGGGTGTTTCAGGGTGTAATATGTCCCTTGTGCCCATAGAAAGGCATCATTGCTGTCAGTATTCACATTTCATTTTTAAACACAGGCGATACAGATACATATTTTCATTATGAAATTAACACAGGGTCATACCGAGGAAAAAGTAAAAGTATTTCTCTAGCCCCTTTTCCTACTTCTATTTTCTAGAGGTCATCTCTGTGTGTCTTTTTGTACATTTAGGATACTCACCCAACTGTTAACTCCATGCTTCATGTATTGTCAATCTGTCTATTTCTGTCTTTATGTTTGTCTGTTTTTCTCTCATCTCTCTCTTCCCTCCCTAACTCCTCCTTTTCCCCTCCCTCCCGCCCTCTTCCCTTTCTTTCTGTTGCTGTGCACAGTATTGCTTCTGATACTGACAAATATTTTGTCATCAGCAGCTTTGTATTTCTGTCCATTCCTTATTGTGAGATATCTACCATATAATTTCATAATGGGGGAACCAGTCTTATTAAACAGAACATCCCAGATGATTGTGAGATTGAGAGGAGGAACAGGCTAAGTTTTCTTATGAAAAAGCATACTCAAAATAAAAAATGGTAGTGTTACTGGAACTGGTGACATTCCAGGAAGGAGGTCTCCAAAAGAGAGGAGGCCTCAGCCTGGCCCTTGGGTACCCAGTTCATGATGTGGTCGCAAAAAAGAAGTAGAGATCAAAAAAGGTTATTAATACAACAAAGCAGAGATAGTGCACAACCCAGTCATGGGTGCAGACTATCTGAGTACAGGTGCAACAATTCTCTAACATCAGGGGTGTTTATGGTGAAAAGTGGGTTGGGGGTTTGACTCAAATTCAACTTAGGAACAGTGCTCATGGTATATTTTATCATTTTTGCTGTCGCACTATTCTGTCAACTGGACCTAGAGACTTCAAGGTTGGCCTGCACGTCAAATTTGACATAGATGTCTGAACATCCCTTTAACAAAGTGTGGGTCCTGCCACATGGTCCCTTCAGAGTATTTCTTTGTAGATTTTTTTTTGGGCCCAGAGGAGTCATTTTCCCAGGACAAGCTGCCCTTGCTCAGTTCTCAGGGTGCGCTAATTTTTTTGGGCAAGTGGACAATGTCAGAGAGAGTGAGCTGCTCTTTCCCTCTTTTTAGTAAATATTGCAGTTTGTTGAATGGGTGTGAGCCTTAAAGCAGAGAGCAGTGTCTATATGTTCATGAGGACAGTGCTTATTTCCAAATTCCTGGCTGCTGTTCCCATGCCTCCACTTCCCTGATCTGTCCTGCCTCAGTAGCAGTATCGATAGCAAGGAAACCAATGTCAAGCAGACTCACCAAGTAATATTTCACCTCTTCTAGACTTGAATCATAATGTGTAAATTTCTAATTGAATTAATTGCTGTGCAATATATATAGCCAGGTTCTGCTTCAAATTATAGTTTATATTCTTTATAAACAACTGTATCAGCAAGGAGAGGGTCTCCTTTATGTTGAGAATTTTAGACTTTAAGTATGTGAATCAGGTTTGTGGGTTTACATTTTACACTTAAATATAGAATGATTTGATCCTTCCTTCCTTCCTTCCACTGTCCCTGCCTCCCTCCCTTTTTCCCTCCCTCCCTGTTTGAACTCATAGCTTTGCCCTTGCTTCGCCCTTTAGCCACACCCCATCTCGGTTTGATTAATATTTGATGGTGAAAATGAATCTGACATTAGTAAGCATTTAACAGTGT